TATGATATTTACTATATTTGGTAATTTACGTTTTTAAGTTGCTTTGGTTACGTCAGGAGGGTTGCTGTTTGATGGAATATTGATAATGGATATGAAAATTGCAACGATTGAAATTAATGTAGTGACTCTATCATAATTGATATGATTTTAGAATTTCAATTGTGAAGGTATTAATGCGGGAAACGATGATTTCGCAGCTCGCGTACGCGTAAATAAAGCGCTGCAATACTGATCGCTATTTCTGTTGTTTGAAAGTATGAAACGTTTACGTTGGTAATCATTCGGAAATTCTTCGAGTAATTATTCAATATGAATTTCTTTCCGCGAGAAGTTCAAACAATATGATACAATAAATAGTACAAACAAAATAGTCGACGTATATTTCGCATCGTACGAGTTGACATCAAGGACGTCGTTAATACTTCACTGCATGTAAACGACAGCGCGCACAACGGTTGTCCATGGAACATTATAATACATTTATGATTACACGAGTGATAAATTTGTAACAATCTGTCGCGTATTTGAGTGTCCTGTATTTCCAATTTAACTTTGGCTATTAACAGAACGCATGCGTCATGCAATTAATGAGGCTCAAATAAAATAATAATAACAACACATTCCAAGCAATTCTTTATACGTCAGTCATCATCGAAATAAATACTTCCAGATACATCAGTCACCGAATCTATAATCACAAAAATCCGTCACTATTATATTTTCGACAGAATCAAAATACGCTTCATAAGCTCCCTCACACTGTTCCATTACATTAATTTCCACCTTATTAGGGACCTACCAAACATCTTGCCAGCAGCAATTAACAGTATGAATGTTAAGCAAAAATGACGGAAGTCTTGCTTGAATTAACCTTCGATTAGAAGTTATGGAAAGTAGTGTACGCTAAGAAGAGAAAAACCAGGTTTCGTCCAAGCTCGGCGCACTTTTCTGCACGCGGAGGAAAGTCACGACATGGTCGAGTAAGCCTAGTAATCCGGATGAAACGCGACTTCGTCGGCTCAATAAGATGCCTAACGTGCTTTGAATGCAAGAACTTATTGAATGCCTTTCGAGCGCTAAAAGAGCCTCTTTCTTGTTCTCCGGACGAGCCCGCGAACACATGCACACGCGCACACTGCTTTCACGGAGGCAGCTTCGTGTCCTTGAATCTGTGCAGGATCAAAAGCAGCCTGCTTTAACGGCGCTGAGATTTATTCAGGGGTTTTCAGCACGAGAAGTGGACCAATTATTGCGACCGGCACGCGAATATTAAATGATCTCGTGATTGAAAGTGGAGGCATGGTCAGGGACATTTTTCGAAAAACTCTTAACATTCAGCGTGTCAAAGGCGATGCGGATATAGTTGCGTCAACGATGAACTGTGCGGACACTTCTCAACTTTATGTACCACGGTTTAACTTGTAAGTTTGCAACTGTGTTGCGGTAAACATGTTTACGCGCTTTATACATTGTTGATCATATGCTGCGACCTGTAGGTAGATCTCTCACCAACCTTACAATCCCTGTAACTTCTTTGTTGCTGGGAATATGGACTTCGTATCCTCCGAAACCGTGCTGTTTTGTTATGCATGTTATAACTTCCTATAATGTAAGACCTCTGTAGCGCCTTCGAGTATTGTTATTCGTGTACCGATTATCGTAGATTCTTAAAGCTTCCTCCGCTCAGTTGCAATGATAATGAAACGTTGACGAAGTTAAATATTAACAAGGTCTAGTTAAAATGAACTGAATCGAGTTTGATCAACACTTAATATATTAAAAATTTACAAATTGTTTGGTTACATGATCGCGTTTGATCGCATTCGCGTGTTTCTGTGTTGTGTCGTATTCGATTGGTTTAGAGCGATCGTAATTGGTTCGATAAAAATTCTACAAGGTTGTTAAAACTTTCTTCTTGATAGGTAAATAATACATTATGATTTCAGAATCTGAGTTTGTATTTAAGGGGAAAGTATCTATGGCCGAAAAGCGATAAATCGCTAAATAAAATATCGTTTTAATCTCCTGTATTTGTTGATTGAATTTTGATATGGGTTATAGAAAAATTGTTATCTTTCATTGCTATCCAATTTATCGGCATTTTTTATAAAGGAATCTGTGCTGAACCGAAAATTTCAATTCTTTAACGCGAGAAGTGCCTAGCCCAAAACGCGACTAGTAATATTGTTTTATAACAATAACAAAATTGGATCTCACCTAGAAGCAATTTTATGACATCAACGACTGCAAAAGAAAAAATTAGAAACCAGTGATTTTGACTGGTTTGGTAGATCTAGTGTTTTCGTCCCTTTACACAATTCTTTAAGGAAAAATCCTCGCTTCAATGAAGTTATTCTACTTTCCTACGTATTTTTAAAAATATAGTCAATTTCAAAGAAATAATTATGATGAAAATAAGCTGATAGCGTACATTTAAATATATATATATCTCAAAATCATTCTGAGAGCATCAGACTCGTTTATATATTTAAAAAAACTTAAAATTGCATTGTACTTGCTGCAATAGGCTCAATTTCATATGCATAAATCGCAATAAATTATATAAAATAGAAATACTGTAGATCAGAAATCATGTTTTGGATTTCGAATTCAAACAGCTTCGACTGCAAAGGGTTAATTGCTGTCTCTTATACACATCTAGACGTGTATAAGAGACAGTATGTATATAGTGCATATATATATATCAAAATCATTCTGAGAGCATCAGACTCGTTTATATATTTAAAAAAACTTAAAATTGCATTGTACTTGCTGCAATAGGCTCAATTTCATATGCATAAATCGCAATAAATTATATAAAATAGAAATACTGTAGATCAGAAATCATGTTTTGGATTTCGAATTCAAACAGCTTCGACTGCAAAGGGTTAATTGCTGTCTCTTATACACATCTAGACGTGTATAAGAGACAGTATGTATATAGTGCATATATATATATCAAAATCATTCTGAGAGCATCAGACTCGTTTATATATTTAAAAAAACTTAAAATTGCATTGTACTTGCTGCAATAGGCTCAATTTCATATGCATAAATCGCAATAAATTATATAAAATAGAAATACTGTAGATCAGAAATCATGTTTTGGATTTCGAATTCAAACAGCTTCGACTGCAAAGGGTTAATTGCTGTCTCTTATACACATCTAGACGTGTATAAGAGACAGTATGTATATAGTGCATATATATATATCAAAATCATTCTGAGAGCATCAGACTCGTTTATATATTTAAAAAAACTTAAAATTGCATTGTACTTGCTGCAATAGGCTCAATTTCATATGCATAAATCGCAATAAATTATATAAAATAGAAATACTGTAGATCAGAAATCATGTTTTGGATTTCGAATTCAAACAGCTTCGACTGCAAAGGGTTAATTGCTGTCTCTTATACACATCTAGACGTGTATAAGAGACAGTATGTATATAGTGCATATATATATATCAAAATCATTCTGAGAGCATCAGACTCGTTTATATATTTAAAAAAACTTAAAATTGCATTGTACTTGCTGCAATAGGCTCAATTTCATATGCATAAATCGCAATAAATTATATAAAATAGAAATACTGTAGATCAGAAATCATGTTTTGGATTTCGAATTCAAACAGCTTCGACTGCAAAGGGTTAATTGCTGTCTCTTATACACATCTAGACGTGTATAAGAGACAGTATGTATATAGTGCATATATATATATCAAAATCATTCTGAGAGCATCAGACTCGTTTATATATTTAAAAAAACTTAAAATTGCATTGTACTTGCTGCAATAGGCTCAATTTCATATGCATAAATCGCAATAAATTATATAAAATAGAAATACTGTAGATCAGAAATCATGTTTTGGATTTCGAATTCAAACAGCTTCGACTGCAAAGGGTTAATTGCTGTCTCTTATACACATCTAGACGTGTATAAGAGACAGTATGTATATAGTGCATATATATATATCAAAATCATTCTGAGAGCATCAGACTCGTTTATATATTTAAAAAAACTTAAAATTGCATTGTACTTGCTGCAATAGGCTCAATTTCATATGCATAAATCGCAATAAATTATATAAAATAGAAATACTGTAGATCAGAAATCATGTTTTGGATTTCGAATTCAAACAGCTTCGACTGCAAAGGGTTAATTGCTGTCTCTTATACACATCTAGACGTGTATAAGAGACAGTATGTATATAGTGCATATATATATATCAAAATCATTCTGAGAGCATCAGACTCGTTTATATATTTAAAAAAACTTAAAATTGCATTGTACTTGCTGCAATAGGCTCAATTTCATATGCATAAATCGCAATAAATTATATAAAATAGAAATACTGTAGATCAGAAATCATGTTTTGGATTTCGAATTCAAACAGCTTCGACTGCAAAGGGTTAATTGTTTATAGCTTATCCGATTTCGATGAATTTTTCACCATGCATATAAGTAACCGAGATCTACAAAAAGCATCTTTTTTTTAAATTTTCGTTATAGGCTCAGATAGGAAAGTTGGAAAGTGAGAGTTTTTTTTATGTCATTCCAAGTGATAGCAAAGTTAAAAGGTGCATTTTAGTCGTTGTCTAGTAGACTAGTCTCTTTATCATCTGAAGAAAAATTTGAGTCATTTTAGTCCAGTTTTAAAACAGTCATACCGTTGGTTGCATAGCTGCGACTTTCTTGTTCGCTAGTGAACGTGTCAAAAGACAGTGTATATCGGTCTGTATAATTCATGGCGTGGTCAGGGTCGTAGCACGGGTCCACTAACCCAGATAGCAGTCGACTTTGGCTGATCGTCAGGGGTAGTCTTCCCCAAAAAGAGAGCGGCGAACAGAAGATTCCATGCGTAACGTGCCCGTCTCCGTCTCTCTCTTTCCCCCACCACGGCTGATTGCCTCCCCGGTGTCTCTCTTTCTTGCGCGGCCACCCCTCGAAAGCCATCCGCCATCCTCCCGGCACCGGTTCGCGCACTCGTCCGGGGGTGGTAGATCGTCCTGGCGCAGCCAGTGCCCGCGCGTCTTCCGCGATCGTCGGACCACGCGTACGAAAATCGGGAAGGTCTTCTTCGTCGCGTGTCCGTGAGCACCTAACTGCTGCCGGATGTTCTATCTGCAAAAACCTGTCTCTTGGTCTTCGATCGACATTCCAGTTCGCCGATGATTTATCGGATTTCACAATCCTTCGATCAAGCACAAGCTGTTCGCTCGTGGATTACCCGAGTGTGACAGGCGATCCTCGAAGTGCCTTGCAGCCGCCCTTATTTATTTAATCGGGAAGCACTCGACTGCTGGCGTTGCGTCGTCGCTGAGAGGATAACCGAATGCTAAACATTGTTCTAAGGGACGCGAACACATCGGGAACGCTTCGGGGACAGCTCGCTCTTGAATCGCTTTTCCGAGCGAAAGGCTGGGAAGAGCGAACGACAGAAAACTCGATCAGCCGACACGTAGCAGGAACTTTGTAGAGGATCGAAGGGAATTTTGTGATCAAACTGTAGCGTGGCAGATCGAACGCGAGTGGTGAAACAGTTGTTGAATCCAAGAAGGTGGTAGAACTTTAATGAAAGTTTGGTGATCGGTAATCGGTGCAGCATGACGTTCAGGCCGAGGTAACGCCGGGTTATGCCTACCAGGACGGATATTCGCGGTGATCACATTAGACGAGGACGATAAAGAGCTGCTGAACTAGTCTATTAGATCGAATAAACGCGTTTCGATGGGAATTGTACGTCGATTATTCGGTATTTACGGAGGAAGGACTGGTTTGCCGTGAATTTTGCAGATACTTTAGAGGAGCGGAAGCTTCTTCAACGACCCGTGGATGAAGATCCGACTAAAGACTCGGAAAGCCGATCGGGAAGCATGCTACGCAGGACGAGCGTCGTGAACGAGATGATCGAATGAGACGCGAGTGTTTGTTCTTGACGGCAACAGCAGGGACGTTAACGATGAGACTGACGGACCAGTGAAGTGTGCATACGGACTCGTCGCCACGAGAGAAGTGACTGTTCGACGACGTTCCATAGACAGAGAAACATGTGAGTACAGTCATTCAACAATCTAGCAAGAAGCCTGCTCGTCGATTGAGCTGTTGAACAACAGGAAACGGCTTAGCTGGTTAGTTAGTCAGATGTTGTTTCGTGCTCCCTTGTCCGTCTAATTACTAATCCACGTGTCGAACGATAATCATGGAATAACGCGTCGTGCGATCATCACGATCCTCGATCGATCATGATTCGACGACTGCCAGGCACTATCTCTGTTCACGGCTTGCGTGTGCTGCGGCTTGAAACGCCGAGATATGCGAGAATCCCATTTCCAATCGGCTGACGATTAACGGTCATTGAACCTCGTTCTGCCGTTTCCAGCTCTCTCTTTCTCCCTTTCTCTTCCTCTCACTGTTTCTCCTTCTCTTCTTGTCCCCCTTTCTTTCCCGTTCATCCCCCATTTCATTGTCGTCCTCACGTGGGCACAGAAAGTTTAATAATATTAATGCTCCACTCTTTCGATAATCACCAGTATCGGATATTTCTAATATTTCAGGAGAAATTTCGAATGAAACAATTTAACATTTCACGAAAGTTCATCAACTCGAAGCAGTGTCGAATATCGACCGTAGTAAATGGTTCACAATAAACGGAGAACGGTCCCAGTAAATACGGTCGGCAAAACGGTCGGCCCAATGGTTCCAGTAATTATGAATCACAGGGTTCGTTGACGTCGACGCATACGCATCGGGGTAATCAAGAATTTCGCCTAAGTTGCGTCGTGATTTTGCTTTTAACTCGTACACCATGCTTCCGACGGAAGATTACTTTTGAAATGGCACCGCTTCAAAGGCGCGCCGGGACGGTGTAATTACTTGTCCGAGTTCGCGGGATCGACTAATGTTCCGTCGAGTTTCTACAGGAACAGCCGAATCGGGCAAGGAATTATCGCTTCAATCACGAAACAGACACTGTACTTTGACGGAAATTGTTGCATGCTCGGTAGCCCATTTTATTCACGGTTACTTAATTAGGGACGGCGGATTAATCGAGACGGAAATTTTCCTCGTTTCGCTTCAGTTTGTCACTGCATGCGCGCCTGCCCGCCGGTGTCAATCGATTTAAATAGATACAAGCCGCGCCGCCGTCCACGTTTGAGGGAGACCGTCTGAACGTCGCGAAACCGCAGACAGACGATATTCGAAGGCTCGATTTCGAATCCTATCGTCGCGGCGGCGAGCGTGTTCAAGCCACGCGACAAAGACACCTATACAGTCTTTTTGACGCTGCTGTCTCTCGCCGCGAGCTAACTCGCCGACGATTTCTCAGGCTTCCACGCAAGCGAGGCGGGTTTCGTTAGGGACATCGGTCGCTCCCGAGAGTAACGATTACGCCCTGGCGATAACAACTTTTTCTAAACTCCGCGCAACTTCGAACGTTCCCGTTCAAATGCGCCCCCGTTTACTCGTAATTGCAGCAATCCTGCCTTGGACGTGTACGTATCGCGGAACAAGAATCGCCGAAATTTGTACTTCGTATCGCTTTCATGTGAAACAGGTATGGAACGAAATGTTCTCTTAAGTCCAGAAGGATCATTTAGGGCTCCATGTTTTCCGTATACAGCTGTACGTAATGTAATTTACTTACTTGGCTTGTGAAGTTTTATGTTTCATCTTATTTTCTGAGGCCAGCCCTGCCCAATAGAACCACACATTACTCGTCGAGATTTAGTTCGATTGACCCTAGACACATTGACTTAATGGGACAGCCGGGAGAAGATGAAATTACTTTACAATATTTGAACAAGTTGAACATACATTATGTACCTATTTATTAATATTTCTATCTTATTACATTATACATATATATAGCATTTCATTTTTATTAAAGACTAAAAAATAAATGCAGTTCTTATTTTTACTCATTCAAAAATAGTTTATTAAAAGCATTTATTAAATTATTGTCCTCATATTCGTAAAGATTGATTAGATTCATAAAGATTTAAATATTTTTATCTGAGAAATTAATTACGCATTTGGTTGAATCGATTTATCTGAACGCGAATTCTGATTTAAACGTTTCCGTGCGTCTGAAATAAGTTGTTTCACTTCTGTTGAAAATTATTTTCCGCCTCCAGTTCCGTTATCAAACTTATTAGATAAACTACGAATAAAAATTAAATTATGCGAAAAAATTCTTTCTCTCAGTCTATTAGAAGGTATAATCATTGAATAATTAACACATCGCTTCGTCTGTCCTTTGTTCTCATCAGCCTTGAGAAACGACGTTCTGCATGTAAAAAAACCTCCGTCAAAGTAACTAGACCAAAGAAACGGTGCGGTAAAGGATAATGTGCGCGGAAGCTACAGTGAAATTATGATTCCAAAGTATCCACTTTAGCAACTCACCCTTCGCTAAATTCGCCCCTTTCGCAGCTCTCAAAGAGTTGATCATCATCGTTGAAATATTGAATGCGAACGGGAGAGCCGGCTACGCGTTCCATTTTCAACTTTATGGTCATGAATTATACGCTTCTCCCTAATTCTCATTTCCCGTCTCTCGTTTCCGGTTCAACGTATTCAGCGTAGTTGACAATAATTGAAATTCCAGGCTGGTCCAAGGGGGACGGGGCTGCTCGTGGGTGTCAAGAAAGTCAAGAGACGACAGTCGCGTCAAGAATATAAAATTCTGACGGAATTCGCCGCTGTTAGAAGAGCCGCGCGCCTGCTACACGCTCGAATTATTTTTTGACAGGTGTGACATTTTCAATAATGTCCATCTTTTTCTCATTTAATCCATTGAATAATCTCCGCGACCGGTGGAAATTACGATATAAATGACTGGTCATCGCTATGCGTTTGTGCAGAGATTTTTGCAGCGCTGTCACCGTCTGCGGCTTGAAATGAAATAATGATTGCTTGTTAATATTTGCTGATCAGGGCGCGATCATTATGCTCGATGCGTAAATCAATTTTTCATTTGAATTTACAGGCATTAAATCGTACTTTTTATTTCTCTGTAATAATTATATTTACGCACATGAGAAACGTAAAACTGCATACGTCATCTCATATAGTAATCGTGAAATAGCTGCAGAGCTCAGAATTGACCTAACCACCGCCTGCTGCGGCTGAGGGTTAAAAAGCACAGATACTATGTATTGCAAAGAAGTATAAGATTGCAGTAATTTGATCTACGCAGGTTCCCTAAATAGGGTTTTTGTTCAAATATATTTCAGACAGATCTTCGTTCCGAAAGAAGATCTTTTACTGATCATAAGATTTGTTTCGGTAAACTTAAAGATTTTAATGTGATCTATGATTTTTTTTATATCGAACTGTATATTTTTATTTCCGCAAATACGAACTCCATTTTGGGACGAATTCATTGACGTACAATATGTTGGCCTTTTAAGGTCATTCGAGGGCATTTATAGCCATTCAAAACTCACTTTCAAGAAAGTGCAGAACACACAAGTCTACAGTTATTAAATTAAATTATTAAGTCTGAAGACCTAAATTCAAGCTCATTTTTCTTGGTAAAGGAGATAGAGAACAATTCCTTTATTTATGAAATATAAATTTCGGAGGGCAACATGATATTGAATAACCTTAAGAGACCATTAAATTGTAGTTCGATGAATTCATTTCAGAACGGGCTACACATTTACCTAGTAAATAAGTAAGAAGATACGTTACCATTAAAGAAATCAAGCTCAGTTCACTATAATTTTCGATGAAACTTTCAGCATGTGTATACAAACTCTTCAGATCTTGAAGAACATAATTTTTCTAGCCTCTTTCTTTAAAGCAAAAAATTAGCAAAAAATTATTTACACATTATCTAGTAAACTAATCCTTCTAACATCTCAAAGAAATTCAAATCATTTGATCCATCTTTGAAGAAGTTGTTCCGTTATAATAGGTAACCGAATATTTTAGTGACAGTCTGTATGTTTGCAAAGTCATTCGAAGCTTTATAAGTGGCTTGGAAATATCCATAGTTCACTGTTGTTAATCAAATATTTGCCAAGGAGATTAATTAAGAGATTCATTAAAAGACTGCTTCGTTTGCTCGGAAACCTTTAATAACGATTTGCTTGGCTGTGCGGCGCCACGACCCATTGCCTTGCGTCGCGCCCGTTTTCTTCTCCGAGGATCCCGCCTTTGTTTTCAATTTTACGCGGTGCGCGAGACAGAAAGAGGATTAACTATTACGACGTTCCGTTAGAGTTTGTTGTCCGAGTTTCGTTTACGACTTACGTTCCGGTTCCCCAGCTTAATTCTATTCGACCATAAAATCTCCAATGGCCGGGCGGCCCACCGGAACCTCCCCTTCAGCGTCAACGAATTCATCCCTCCCCTCTCCCTGTTTCCCTAATGTTTTTATTCGTCATCGTGGCACAGGAAGTGTAAGTACGCTTGCATCTATTATTCCCTATCCCAATGCTGAAAAAAAGCGTCTCTCTTAGGTCCGCGTGGACGCTTTACGAGCTGGTGCTCCGTTTTGGCATGAAGGTCAATTAAAGCCACCCCCTTGAAAGGAGGGGTCATTTTACCCGTGCATACAAATTTCCGTACATGGAAAAATTATCTGTTAGTTCACTCTAAATGAGGAAATAGTGCGTATCGGTACTGTGTACTCAATCTCGAAACAGTTAAGATGCCTTTCTGCACTCGACGTGCCGACATATAATATGTAGTTACACAAAATCAATAACACTTTTTGTAAGTACATGGCATATTCTTGTTCAGGAAAGAATTTGGACACATCTTTTGTTTTAAAAAAAAATGGAATTCTTTCAGTGCCGACAGAGAAAGTTATTGCCTAAATGAGAAATACCGAGCCGAGTTGATGTAGTCATTTGATTAACCAGAGTGCGATAAATAATAAATTGACATATTAGTTGGCTGCTTATTTATTAAAGTGCAAAGCATAGAAGTTAATTTATTTCCGTGTTGCACTACCTTTGTACTCATCTGCATACAAATAATATTTTCATCAAAATTTAATCTGGAATCAAATAATATTTTATCGAAGGAATGCAATAT